AGTAAACAAAAATATAATGCAATAAGCAAGCTATTAAGTTTATGCTATTATCAAAAAAAAAAAAAAAAGAATATATTTAAAAATACGAGAAAAACATTTTCTCTTTGTGTATTTATTTATAGCAGATACATAAAAATAGATTTCTATTTTATTTCGAAATTTTATACATATTAGTAATTTGTTTTACTCGTAGTTATTTTAAAGTATAAACATGCATATTCATAAAAACATGACTGCATCTGTTTCCCGATATATTTCTTCTTTATGCTTTTTCACATTCGAAAGAATTTACTTTCAAATGAAATTTTCATAAAGTTTTCGAACATCTACGATTATTGAACGCATAAATTTTATATAATTACAATGTTTAATTAAATTCATACGGTATTCGCATTTACTAAATTGCAAAGGCTATAAAAATTTATTGAATGAACCATATTTAAAAATAATATAACCGTGTAATGATAAGCAACTATTATGTAACGTTGAATTATACAATACCGAAGATATATTATTTCACGCCCTTATAAATATTCATACAATCAAATTTCAAAATACATTTATTTGCAAAATAAATGTCTCCAAACATTCCATCACATTATAACATTATAGATATATTATAATTTATTAAAGGTCGCGATTATCAGAATCTACTTTTGTAATATTTTTTTTTTTTTGTTTTTTTTTTGTTTTTGTTTTTGTTTTTATTAAGTGATAATAGATTTAGAGGCTCTCATTCAAGCAAAACACGTTTGCTTTAAATTGATAATTCTTAATATTTCTTTAAGCGCTTCTAAACAATATACTTAATTATATTAAATTTAATTAAATTCCATGATACTTTAAAAAGTATTGTCAATAAGCTCATAAAGTCTTTAATTTCAAATACGTATAATCACTATTATAATTGTTTTGTATAACGATTCAAGATCTCTAAGCTTAGAGTATATTCCAATCGTACATTAAAAAAAAAAAAAGAAAAGTTGTAAAACTTTTTTATGTGAAATTTACCGGGACTTAATGAAACATGCAAAAGAGATAACATTGATGTAACTCAAAATAACATTTCAGAACGAGATTCAAAGATTAAAATTTTTAGCAATTTACAGTTTATTAAAATATTTAAATTGCTGACGTATGCACGAAGTTCTAGGATAAAGCATCCAAACAAAAAAAAATTTCATAACAATTTCCATGCATTACTGTGCATTTCTTATAAATAACAAATTCTTGTTGCACGAACTCAAGAAAGTAAAATAACAAATTCCTCCTCTACATAAATAAATACATAATTTAATACTTAGAACATAATTCAAGTATTTGACCGTAGTTATTTTATGAATACAATAAAAAAAATTGTTTAATAACTTCTTTTACATACGTGACTTCATTTTTAATTCTATCTTAGCTTAATTCTATCTTCGTATTTACATATGATTATAATTTACGACAGATTCGGTCAAATATTTTACAATATAAAGGATTAAAGATAAAGTTACTAGTGGATTGATAATTTATTGATTTTAAATTTATATTATTATATTAATTATATGTTATAATCTGTTTTTAATTACTACCTTAAGTTTGATGAACGAGTGAAAATTGAATTCTTTAAATATTATCGATTATTTCAATCCATTTCAATAAATTTCAGAAATAAATGTAGAAAAATATTAAAATGCCCGAGGTTCCATAGCATACTAATAAATAATAAACTAATGATAAGCATAATATTAGATGATGGTAAAATTTAATTAATTACTATCTTTCGTATTAGTAATTACAGTTTTCATGTAACAATATCGCGTATTATTAGCGTTCGCGGCATAGTTCATGCGCATCTTACACAATAATTAATAATTAATTACTTTAAAGGCCAAAACGAGTCAAGCTTACTTAAATCGAGAATTACTTACGGAGTCGTTATGTCATTAATTTTTGAGCAGTCAATTACATATTATCGTATACTTTTTGCTATACATTCGCAAAGATAATACATATATCTTATTTACGTAACAATAACTCGAGAATAGATTACTATTAAAAAATAAACATCGATCTAAAATCAAACGAGAACACGAAATGCTTCTGGGATGATGGCGTTATGTTTTCAACGCGGAGGACCTTGGCTAATTTTCTGATCGAATCCGAGATATTAAGTCATATCACGCGAGTCAAAATTTCAAATTTCTAAATAACTTCATTGCTCGCATGGATTCATATGCATATGAGAGAGGAGCTTTATTTTTTCTCGTTCCATTTCTTGTTCAAATGACGAAGCGAATGAAAGTGTTATTAGCTTTCACTTATAAACATAAACTAGTGCTACTTGTACGAAGTATGTGACCTTTATAAATTTATCCAATTTAAAATATGATAAATGCAACTTAAGCTTAGACTTTTACTTATGTATTAAAAGTACTAATAATAAACATTCGACAATCGGATTCTCATTACAATGATGATTTTCAACAATTTTATTATATTTTTAATTTTACATTTATTTTATTTTATTCGATAATTTTTATACGCCCGTTGTAGGTCACTAAAAACGTAAATAAAAGAGGTTCCATTGCTACGTTGGCTTATGCGTGTGAATTATAAAATCGAAATTATCCTTATTCCGTAGAAGAATATTCACATTCTTCGTGTTTTTCATTAAACATAGTCACATATGTATGTATGTGATCATCGCGTCAGCTCATAATTGTCGGAATAATTTATAATTTTAGATAACCATAATTAATACAGATTTTCACAGAATTCAATATGAATGCTAACGACTTCGTCTGAGTGGTGATGCATGATATATGATTTATAAGAAAGATTTTATAATTTTATTTATTACTAAATATAAATTACAATGCAATAAATATTATTTAATGTTAGGGTTAAAATTTTATATTCTATATTCTAAAGATATTATAATATTATCGTATTAACGTTATTTAAATACTTCTTTTATATATTTTTAATTAAATATGTACAGCACCTTTCTAATTGAAACTAGATTATATATGTTTGAGAGAGAAAAAAGATATGTATAAATTATATATGTAAACATTGTATTTTGAACAGAATGAAAAAAATATCTTAAATAGAAATAATATAAAATGATATAAAATATAAATACAAATTAACTATTTTATTGTTATGAAATAGCATGAAATTAATTGAAAATTATTGTAAATTTTTCTTTAAGACTATAATTTGTCTATTTATGTAGTCCAAAAATCAATGGAGTTTCATTTTTTAAAAATCAAAATTTGTTATCAAATTAATTTATTAATCTTATTTATCCGTGTATTTTCAAGCCGTAAATTAAAAACTTTTATCGTGTATTTCACTTCTAATAAATACTTTTAAAACGATTATCAATTATAAATAATTACATTAATGTTTATATATTTATATATATTTAATTATATATATATATATATATATATATATATATATATATATATAAATATATATATGATTGTGCTAATATCTTTAATGTTCTAGATCACATAATTGAAAAATGTATAATTTATTATTATTTACATTTTATAAATGTTTTATCAATAAATATAACTCTGAAAGTATGCACAATATTAGGTACTGATGAAATTAATTTCTCATTTAACGTTATGTTTGGTACACATTAGTTGTATAAATATATATTCTTTAATGAACTTGCTGAAAACTTGTATAAAATAACAATAATATTTTAATATAAGAAAATCTAGAGTTAGATTATAAAGATCTAACTTAACATCTAAATTAATAGATTATTAACAAATATTGTTCATGTTTTTTTTCGTATAAACTCCATGTTAATTCCTGAATAATTAATTATTTTAGAGCCTTATGTGATAATTAGGAGAATTGAAGCATAACGAGTGCATTAATATTTACATATTTGACGATCGAAAATTTAAATACGCAATTTGAAATTAATAAATATTTTATGAAACTTGATATAATTACAAATCTTAAAATATATATAATTTTTGGTTATATTATTATGTACTAGTTTATTAATTATTTAAAATTTTATAAAACATTATATATATATATATATATATATATATATATATATATATTACTATATTCGTGTGGCAAATCATATTAAATTAATATAATATATAATTATATAATTAGTTTGTAAAGCGATTGACTATTTTATGAAATTGAAAATTCAATCGAAGTAATAAAATATAAAGGTTTGTTGTAATGTCTATAAGTATAGCAATGAAATTGAAATTTCTAAAATTGATATAAGCACGTACCAGATCTTAAAACGAACATTAATCGATTTTAAAAATAATTTTAATTTTGATGGTTGATTTTTGTCAATAAGATTACATCTTGTAGTATAGAAAATAATTCCAAACTAGTTTGTATATACATTTTAGTTCAAAATTATTTTTTTTTTTTTTTCATATAATGTTCATAATATTTTTCTGTTCAATATTAAAAATATGTTATGCGCCGATTTATCGATTAAACAACTTAAGCAACTTTTACAAAATAAAGCTGCTACTTTTGTTTTCTACATTACAATGTACCAACTATACTACTATATTGACAATAAATGCATAATTTTGTATATATATATATATATATATTTGAATTTACACAATATCGTTATGTTCATTTTTTGCAAATAATTTTTATATCGTAATAAATATTACTTAATAAGTGCAGTGATGAGTGAGAAATAAAGTAGTAGTTTTCCAATAATTTTTAATTTCAAATTTTTCATATTCAGAATTACCAACGTGTCGCTAGGTAATCCAATATTTCCTTCTCTTCGCAAAAATCAATATAACAATTTTATGCCCCGAATAAAATGTCTGCTGATAAAACGAATTGTAATCAATCGGTTAAAATAAATATGGCCTGATTAATGAAGCACTGAAAATTTTATTCCAATACTCCACTTCGATCACTCATTTTTATTAGATTGCATCACTGTTCGGCTTGGTGTCTGCTATGACCACTCGTATGCTATAAGAAATGCGCATAATTAACAAAAGACGACGAAAGACAGACGGCTCGATTTTATGACTGCAGAACACATTTTATTTATTTTTTCAATAATAATGTTAGTGATATAGAAAAATTTTTGTTACTAAATTGTAAGTATTGTAAAATTTCATTTTAAAATTTGTAATAATATATCGACGTTTTTTATTAACTGAATTATATAAGCCAAATGTTTGTTATTGTCACGAAATAAAAGTCTTTATTTACTTATTGCTTTTTACAACGTCGACAGATATATCAGGTCAATCATTTAAAGATGGCATACCTTAACAAGTCTCTCACTGGCTTAGACGAGTGTTTTAATATTAGAGAAAACACTAATTCGACTAAACAGTCGGAATATAGGCTTTTACCTTCTGCCTCTGTCGATCAGGCCATTGGTAAAGAGGAATCAGAAATGAAAGTTCTTTATTTAAGACACCTGTTAGAGAAGGATTTAAAAGCTGCAGATTTTAAATGGTCTCTTTTTATAGCAGCTTGCCATACTTATCGCCTTGACACTTGCCTCAAACCATTCCCACCAATGTACATTAAGAACGAAATTAAAGATATCGATGGTTTAGTAAGTACAGTACGTTCGCATATCCTTCAATATTTTTTTTATATTTTAATTAACATTTAGATTGTATTTTATAGAGAAAAGCAATAGAATATATTCCCCCTTTATCAATAGTAGCTCAAGAGTTAAAGGAACCAAATGTTTATGACACTAAAGGAAGCAGTATAGAATTATTATTTTGGGTTCTAGTAAAGTTAAGGGATATGCGAATTAAAACTGTTAACAAAGACTGCGTAAGTTAACATCCGTACGGATGTTATATTTATTTCGGCCAATAAATATAAAAGGATTGGACGTATGATATCAAATGCAGTGAATTAACCGCATAATTCTTTATGATATTTTAGCACGAATCTGTGTTAAAGAGAGTCAACTCTGAATTGACCGTGGCTGCTCCTAATTTAATTTTCCAAGTAGCAAGTTCCAAACTTATATCGGCAGAGCAAAGATGGAGACAACTCGCTAAAGGCCATAATACGTTTTATGCTTATCACGGCAGTCGACTAGAAAATTTTCATTCCATAATACATTACGGCTTACAGCAACATCTCTGCAAAGTACATTATTTTTTATTAAGAGTTTCTAATATAAATTGAATGTGCTTTTAATAGTATGTGCCATGAATTTTTAGCAAATATTTATATATATAAGATATTTTTAGCAAATATTTTCTTTATAGACTAAAATTGTGAGTAATTATATATAAATGCATAATGACTGGCTCACAGTATGTAACTTAATGTTTTTGCACTTCAAAGATTCTATACAAATTCTTATTAAAACTGTGTGTTCCATAAAAAATAAATTAACTCCTTGTATTGATATTATTCTAGGAATCATTATTTGGTAAAGGAATCTATTTGTCCAGTGAATTAGCAGTTAGCTTGCCATACAGTCCTGTTGGTTACGGATGGGGTGGCAGTTTACTGGGAAGCGATATGAGTTGTGTAGCGCTTTGCGAAGTTATTAACCACCCTGATGTGAAGCTTGGTGACACAAGTAATTTTACAGATTTTTTTATTTTTTTCTTAATTGCTTTTTCTAGAAGCTTTAAATCGATATTACAATAGTAAATTTGTTGAATATAAATTAGCGGATCCATCTTAACAAATTTCATATTCAGATTTGAAAATTTAATTTGTATAAATGATCGGTTCGCTAACATTAATCTTTAATTCATCATACATTGACGCATAGTCAATGTATAAATGTGTTAAGAATTGTTTTATAAAAAATATGATGATTATTTAAAATCTCGACTACTATATCGTACTGTCGCATAAGCTGCTTAGTTTTACTATAAATGGATATATAAAATTTGACTAAAAAGAGAAAATTTTTACAATAATTTCAGATAATAGTGCAAGAAACTTAGCACCTGAATCTATTGGTGGAAAAGTACCGAATAAATACTGTATAGTACTAAATAATGATTTAGTAAGAATTCGATATCTTTTAGTTTATAGTCAAGAGTTTGGATGTTTACGGTATGTGCGAAGTATATATATATATCAAATAATATATACTATTTTTCTATATTTTCTATCTTTATAGTATTTGTTTTCCGTACCTTACAAAATGTTTCTAATCTAATATTCCAGATCTTCTCATACTACTGGATTTTTAGGCTGGTTAAAGCAACATAAATTATTAACGTTCATGCTTGGTTACGTTGTATTGCTTGCCTCCATTGGCTTATCCCAAAACAGAAATGTTGAACGATACTTCAGATTACTGATTAATAAGTTTGGATTGGACTGACAATAAAAATAACAATGCAATTGAATACGATATACAAATTTGAGTGACATGTTTGTTATACATATTTGTTTCTTCTTTTTATACACTGTATACTTATTTTGAGATATATGACTGTTAGGAAATAAAAGTTACATTTTCTAAATAAATATAATTTAATTTATCAAAAAGTATCATACATAACATAAGCGATAAAAAAAAAGATTAGATTAATAAGATCTATAAAACTAATAACATAATAACATAATAGAAGGTTCAGTGCCTTGCCAAGATAATAGGAAAATTTTCTGTCACTAGATAGTCATTTTCAAATACAACAATCAGATTAACTTCGAATTCTAAAAACAATTAAAAAATTTTGAATAATCGATATCAAAAATTTTTTTAAATATAATTTCATTGTTATGAATCTATTTATATTACGTACCAACTTTAAAGTTACTCGTAATTAAAGTAGGACAGGTAAACAGTCGTGGAAAAATCATGTAAATTGGAATGGCAAGTCCTGAACATACGTTTCCTTCTCCAATTTGTATGTTTTGAATTTCAGTTGCTAGGTATTCAAAATATTAAAATTGATTTTTTTTAAATCAACGCACATAGAGTAGTGGTAAATTATAATATTACCATCTCTTGAATATCCATCGGCGCAACCGCATGTTTCTACTCTTACTAACTGCAACTCTATAGATTTAATGACAGCCTCGCAATGTTCTATAAGAACTTCTCCAGTTAATGGTTCTGGTAATTTACAATAGAGCGAATCTAACTTTCCAGAGATACAAAATTTTGGAACAGTCGTGTTTTCTCTAGTATTTTGAAGGGACTCTGGTATTATTTGAAAAAATACAGTTTTATTAGGTGCTCTATCCAAAACATCAACAGGCTTATCTTCTACAATAAACTCTAATGATTTACTAACACCCTTTGCAAGAAAACTTCTTTTAATATCGCAACGAATCATATATTGTATGTTGACAAAAACTCCATGATAAGTTTCATAAAGTGTCTTGGTGCCACGGGGTTTCAATGGCAATTCAAAAGGGATTTCTGTCTTACCGCTTGGTATTTTACCAACTGGGGCAACTTCGATTGTATATTGCACCAACTGTATTGGCTGAAAGAAAATGTCAATTTTTCAATAAACGTGTAAACAGTAACGTAAAATGCATTTATATAACTTTACCAACTTTTACTGAATTGTAAAATGCTTCAAATATACCAAAAGATTTTGAGCTTAATTGTAGATTCACAGCACCCTCCATTGTTAAGAATATCCCATCATGCTTTACATCAACATTTGTTTGCAAAAGAATTAATCCACTAAGGTTCTCCTGTCGTTACATAGAAAAAGTCTAATTACTTAATCAAAGTTGAATTTCAATACATTGTACACATTAATTGTGTGTATGCATATATATATATATGTATACACATAATAAAATACTTCCAAGTATTTCTACAATTAATTTCCTTAATAAGTAATGTATTTAAATTTAAAAACAAAGAAAAACTATTACAAATATTTTAATTATAACCTTAACCTCAATAACACTTTGAGATTTCAAATAAAAAAAAATAAAAAAAGTACGCAACTCACGTTTTCTCGATAAATTTTATTAGCTCTCTTGAGCTTAATATCAATATTAATTGACATTATTTAGATTCTCTAGCAATCCAATTAATATTAATTGCCCAGAATTAACTTTATTTCGTAATATTCAGATGAAACAGCATAATTTCTCTGGAAACCTTACATTTAGCCTACAAAGCTTTTAATTATTAATTTTGGCGACTAATCAATAAATACACATATTTATTGTAAATCTGCGAATGGATAAGCAAGCAGACTCGTTTTATTCCGATTACAGTAGCGAAAGTGTTCAACTAGAATAGGCTGACCAAGTCTGAAAAAAATCATCTGAGCTCGTAATAGACTTAACAGAAACTTAATGGCGGTATATTTAAAATTATCAACCAATTCAATTACGCACATAATTTGCATAGCAGAGCATATTAAGTGTGTTAAATTGTCAAATCCAATTACTACTACCATTACATGCCCAAGCAACGCCCCAATTAATACGCATTCTATGAAAATAAAATCCTTAAAAAATCATAACTAACAAACAAATATCAATGAAAATTGAGTAATTTAATCAAACGTCGATTATTAAAAGAAAAAAAAAAAGATTAAAAATCGAAATTCAAATGTGCTGTTTGAAATGATAAGCCTTCGAGCCAGCTTGTAATAGCTTGTAAAATCCAATACCATGCAGCTCTTTCTCTTTCTCTTGCTCTCTCTCTCTCTCTCTCTCTCTCTCTCTCTCTCTCTCTCTGTGTCCCTCTCTCTTACACTATGTAATAAAAAAATTTGTTCAAGCAGCAGCGCCTACGATATTACTCTCGTCATTACGAAAATAATATTGCTCCGACAACATATATCATTACATACGCGCGCCACATAATCTTTCCAAATCGTTAATCACGAGATTCCAATCAAACTGCTGCATGTGTGCGAGCGTGTGACACGTGGTCGCGTGTGTACGCGCTCGAGGGACCCGCAACCCCGATGGTGACGCGTTAAGTTTGCAACCTAAAAACGGCCGGTCGCTCCCAACTGGCGACTCGTCGATGCGATAATAATAACGAACGGACATCGCTGTTAGCCCGCAACGACCTAAACGCACTCGACGAGCACGTGCGTGTGCGCTCGCCGGCACCCATCACACGGCAGATAACAAAATTTTGAAAATCTCTTTAAAGAAGCGTCTCGATTAATTGTAAATAACAGTAACCGACGATGAGACTACGAGTTCGATCCCCCCAACGGTCATGCATCGACGATCCAGTAGCGACGAATAAGAACGGCATATAGGCGAGTCTATCCATTCCCAAATAGTCTCCTGGCGGGGGCCCGGAGCTACGTGTAGGCGCGTAGCGGTGCTCGCGGGGCTCCACTGGCCACCGATTTAAAAGGACTCGGCGACAATTTTAAAAACGACAGTTAGGCAAGTTGCCGCCAGCCAGTGGGAGCCCGTCATCGAGCGTAAGGAGCCTTCGGTAACCATCGGTAGGGCTCGGTATTGTCCGTGTTGCCTAACCAATGAGCTGGCCCCGAACGTCTCCCCCTCCCGACGACGACGGGTGGCGAACTTCCGGCAACGAATTATTTTGAAAATGAAGTGCGCCCACTAGCAAACCGCCGACAGTCAGCGACGCGCGAGGTGTACTTAACTACACGTTTAAACCTCCCTCCCTCTCTCGCTCCTCCATAGCGCGCACTCACGCTTATACGAACGCGCATTTATTTACACATACACACGCAAACGCACACATATATATATATATATATATATATATATATATATCGATATATCTATATGCATATATAGATATCTATATATACGTATATACACATTTTATGTGCAAACGTATATGCGCCGGCGCTCAATTTCGCCAATTCTCCCCTCCAAACACGGCGAGCGAGTAGAATCAGTGGCAGAGAGGCAGAGGGAGAGAGTGAGAAAGATAGAGATAGGGAGAGAGAGAGAGAGAGAGAGAGAGAGAGAACGGCGATCGACGGTTAAAGGAAAAGTGTCGAGTAGAGCGCGCGGGACTTTGCTACGAGGAAAGTGAAGAGGACATTGTTTGGTTTTCTTTTGCCGTGAAGAGACGACAAGCGGTTGTTCGATATGGCGTTGAGAAATCGAGCTATTAATCTGGTGAGTTTAGTTTTTAAAGTGAGACGTCGTTTAATAGCGAAGGACACGAGCGAAACGACGCGGCGTTGGATAGTGAGGGAGTCTCTGGGACTCGCGCGACCGTTGGAACTCGCGAGCCGTTTAAATGCCCTCGGCGAGTTAAAAGCCTCGGGGACGCCCTTGGCGGTGATTTATCCCCGGGCCCGCTTGTCGACGCTTATCGGAGCAGCGGCTTTTACACGACGAGCTTGGCCTTTTTCCGGCATTAGTCGATTTCGTCCCCGTCCCCGTCCCCGTCAACCCCCCCCCCCCAAACCCCCCACCCCCCACCCTCCCCCCT